AATATTTAGATCACCATAGTTCGTTCAGAAATAACCCTCACACCTCTAATTCCATTTACCCTGGGCCATTACCCTTTCTTCATAAACAGTTCTTTCAAATATATTTATTCTATACTATGAAGCCGTAGAGCTAATGTAAGTAATACCAAACTAATAAATTATGCAAAATGCACTAACTATTCAACGAAATCGACAGGCAAATGGAACAAATACGGTTAGTACTCGGTGAAGATGAACAACACTATAAAATCAGACTGTTTAACACATCACATTACACATGTCAGCCTAGAACTTCGCCGGCTCCGGCGCTGGTTTCGTTTTTAAGCCGGTAAGCAACGTTTTGATTTCTCCAATGGCTTTCGCAGGATTCAAATGCTGAAAATTACGGAATCATTATTAGCACAAACAAAATAAAGTGAATAAAAAGAAGCAAGTGCAATCAAAGCAGAACAGCCAGACTCGAAAAGTTTGCACTCGTTTTTGGGCACGCCCGAACTACTTCAAAAACAAGTGCAACCTATAATCTTCAAATTGATGCAATCGAAGAATTTACTGACCTTGGGACAGGTCTTCGTGCAATTCATGATCGTATGGCATTTGAACGCAGAATAGGCATCATGCATGCGGTGAAGACGTTCAAGAGCGTAATCGTCACGAGAGTCGATAATCCACCTATAAGACCAAACTTTTCGAAAGCGAAAAAATTCAAACTATCGTTCACTTCAACCATTTTCAACGTGCTTCAAAGAGGCCTTACCTATAAGCCTGCATTAGTACAGAAGGACCAAGGTACTTGTCCGCATTCCACCAGTATGAAGGGCAAGACGCTGAGCAGCATGCACACAGGATGCATTCATAAAGTCCATCCTACAATGTGTGTATCAAAAAACAACTATGCATAAGCTTTAGATCACTCAAACACGTAGAAACCAACCAGCTTATCGCGCTCTTTGATGCTCTGATGCATTTGCTTGTCACCCAAAGAAATGGTTTCCTTCTTCTGCAGCCAAGGCTGGATAGATCGGTACTGCTCGAAGAATAGTGTCAGATCAGGAACAAGGTCCTAAATATGCGCTTTCAAGCGAAAATCGCCACTGTTACAGAATGTGAAAAATGTTTTTTTTGGCGTTGATTTACAGGTTCACGACACCCGTTGTATGTGCATCTACCCGTGGAATTTTTTAACCAGTAGTTATTACTTCACCCAAATCTTCATTGTTGGTAATGAGTGTGCTATTTGCCTTATCCAATAATACATACAGACTGTTGTGATACAGAAAATAGAGGCACAATCGAGTCAATAAGAGTCCCGTTGAAGTGGAATTGTGAGAGGTGTGTGTCCGGTCGTGTCCCCCAGGTGCTTTCGACGAACGCATCGTTTTGTACTCCTTCTGACTAGTAAAGGACGCCATTCGTTACGGGTCCCACTGCCTCCTGCTACAGTGAACCCTTCAATGTGGAGCGGGGAATCCGTGAGCCAGGGGCAGTGTCGCCAGTCTAGGGGGGTGGGGGGTGAGGGCAGACACTTGACATGCGTGAGAAGCTGGAATGTTCGAATTCAACCGCGATCACATGGGATCCCCGCGGGTTAAGGCAGTGGGTCCCGCAACGAATGGCGCCCTATACTAGTCAGTAGGAGTACAAAATGATCACTCCGCTTTCGAAGTCGCCATGCATATCATGTGATTAAGGGTGTGTGGCTCTTGAATAAACTTCATTTTCAACATACCGTAATATCCAATGCAAACCCTTTCACGCGAGGTTTCCGTTATCATCGAATTTCAAAACGAAAAACGTATGTCTCGGAACACAGTGCAGAAGTCCGCTTCTTTTTGTCCTAGGTCAACAAGAATTTAACATGACTGAGAGCATGATACAATTCCTTTCTACTTGACCACGTACATTATGCGACACGATGGATCTTCGTGGTCTTACTCGTATCCGTGTCGATTTTTTGGATACACGCCAACGTGTTCTCTCCAGCGATATTCATCGCGCATGATCCACAGATTCCTAGAAAAACAAGCGTCTCCGATCTAACACTTGAAAGAATTGTTTTGCCTGAAAGTCTGCTTGATGGAAAAATCCCTTATTATATCGATAAGCCATTTACGATCGTACAGAGGATTTAATAAAAGAGAGCAGGTACCAGAAATATGTAAGCTACGTTAGGATAGACACTCCGGTACGTATTGCAGAGAACGCAAAATAGGCAATGGTGTAATTCACTCCAGCACATCGTGGATGGTGCATGAATTCAATTTCACCAAGAAACAACTAAGATCTCCAGTCATAAAAAGACCAAGCAGCAAAGACAAGATTGATAAGCAGGAAAACATCATTTCCCTAATAGAAACCACGTTTTATCATGGTCCTCATCGCATCACACTATTGGGCTACATCCATCATCTACTGTTTGAGTGCGATCTATCCAATATTTTCAGGTCGGTACCTTCGTGGATATCAGCGAATAGGAAAAGATTGAGATTACGTTGAAGGAGGTCGAAGAGAAATAGACCCCTTCAACGTAATCACACTCTTGTACTAGAACAGAGCCCAAGTTTTTGATATCGGTTGTTTAAAATCTGTTTCCCTTTTGGAGCCCCGAGTAGCCTGCATAAAAATAGGGGGCACTACAAATCATTGAATCAAGAAAATGACGGAGGGACAAAGCTCTCAACTCCGACATGGGAATTAACCCGGAAAGTTCTGATACGAAACAAGTTTAAAATAAGCGTTAAGAGAGAACCAGAGTGTAGAAACCATCACTGCCCATAATAGACGCTTGCAATGTATTCGTTCAATAGTACGTGGCGTCGTAGCCACTTGTATTGGCTGAAAGTTGAATATCAATATTACATGGATTAGACGTCAACGAATTCCCAAACTGATCACGTTTTGTTGAAATAAGAGTTGAGGAAAAACTCAACTCTCACCATTGCCAAAGGCTTACCATTCTTCAACTGGATCACACCTGCTTCTCACCATGAAATTGCCCAACATTTGAATATGATTAAAGAAAAAACCGCAGAGAAAACTAAGGAAAAATACCTTCACGGCAACTTCTTCTAAAGGTTAGAGTGGCGTCTTGTTCGTCTTTAATCTTGATGAGGGCATCCAAAACCATTGAACCACACTCATCCAAGTCAACATCATACTTCTGGAAAAAAAAGTCAAATTGTCAGTGAGAAAGAGAATTTAAGGAACTCTTGCAACTCAAACATAGAACAACATCTTGTTGTCTGTTATATCTCTCCGCATGAAAGTAAACGCACAGCGCAAAGTCAGGACAGGGGACGAGTCAGAATTCAACAAAAAGAGATAGCGAGAATTCTACACAGGCGTTGTGTCAGTGACCACTCGTGCCTTTAGGCTAGCGTCAGAGTTCGCGATCCACCGCGCGATTCGCTCGAATCGCCGAGATGGCAACTTGGCCATTTGAACATTTGAAACACTGAATGTATAAAACCCAACTCCACACCACCATAAAACATCTCATTCAGTTATCAATATCAGCAGAATGGCGTGCGTTATTGAAGATACCTTCGCAGCATTGATCGGCAGCACCTCGATTGCCGATGTCAAGTCGCGAATGACGTCGATTCCGGTCAAAATGTTCGCCGCACCATCGACGCGATTCTGCATGCGAATGGTGCGCGATTGCACTTTCTCAATCATGACAATCGCTCCAATCGCGCGATGGGCACGATCACTCCCGTTGTGGCAGCAACGTATTGATCAAAGGGGGCGCGCCAGCTATTGATCGCTCCCTGCCACAACGGGAGTGATCGCGCCCATCGCGCGATTGGAGCGATTGGTCATGATGGGACTCATGTCAATCGCGCGATCGTCGCGCGAATCGCGCGATGGTCGCGCGATTGGCATTTGACCGATCGCTCCAATCGCAGACTCTGACATCGGCCATTCAACGAATTGTCGCGCTCAATCGCGCGACAGATCGTGCACTCTGACACCAGCCTTTCTCCAATGATGCTGACCCCTAATGAGCCTAAAATCGTCACTTCTGAGGAGCACAGCCAAAGTGGATCGCAAAATTCCCAATTCAATATCGCCCCGCACGAACTTTTTTCACTAGTTCTGGCTATATTTTCGACTGGAGTTCTTCCTCTTACCCATTCGGTTATTACGTCTATAAAACTCATACCTGCAAGTGGGGCTTGGTTCCAGGGGTATCAGGATTCCAGCGGTAGATCTCAAACGTCTTGACCCTTTTGCCTGTCGGCTTTGATGTTGACAATGCACGACTGGCGTACAAAATCGCATCACCGCGTCCCCCAACGACAGGGATCGAGCCAACACATCCTGAAGAGCGAAATATCAGTTAGATATTGAAAGAATCATTAGCATAGTCCTTGCAGCTCAGTAACACTGATATATAAAAATACCAAGAAAACTGCAAAAGTTACAACAGAAAATACACGAAATCTACGGTTCATCATAAAGAAATTTTTACATAGTAATAATATATATACTGACATATACTATAAAAATAATATATTTTAATATTAGAATAAGATAGATAACATATTACTTTGAAAACGTAAACGTCGACAAAAGACAGAAGCATAGGAAGGATGGCGTTTTCATGTTATTTTTATGGATTATTAGCCAGGAAGCTCTTCGAGAGTAACGGGTCTTCGACCGAATATGTTCTTCGAGCTTCTCCTAACCTAGCCCTTTGTACTGATTTCTTGCATGAATACGTGACGAAGACCAGATTTCAGCAGAAAAAAATTCCAGCGCAACGAAGATTAATGTCAAATCGATAGTGACAATGCACACACTATTGTTCACTGTAACAATCCTGCCAGACATAAAAACATAAGAACACACGAAAACTGTTCATATGTAATGCCTACCAATATTGATCAAAAATAATATAATTACAATATACGGCAATAAGCGAAATAGCATTGTCAAGGTACTAGAGCCGAGCACGTCATGTGAATGGCGAATAGTAGGGAATAGTAGGGAGGGAAATCAATATCGCAAAGTGCATTCGTACTGGCTGCCTAAGAGTGCTAAAGTGCTGGGAATGTACTGAAAACACCAGAAACTTCTGGGAGCGTACTTGACAGCTTCATAAGATCGATCTCAGGACAATAATGCCAAGACCAAAAACCATCTGCACCTAAGTTGTAGCATGTGTCAACTAATGCTCCGCGCCGTTGGAAGACCGTCGTAACCACAGACTTGGATTTACTTCGCACAAGACGAATCTCAACAAGTTTATAGAGGAAGAAAGAATCCACACAGAGCAAGTAGGAAGCGATACATAGTTAATTAAGTATGAAAATTAGATCTTCCTCAAACAAGATTTCGTAGTAACTTGCGGGCAAATCCTGTATCCGCAACTGGAATCCATCCTCATTTTTAAACGCAAGGGCCCCGTT